ACTGTCGCTTGGGCAGGATGAGGTTTCTCAGCATGTCAAAGGAGTTGCCATCAGGGTGCACCGTCACCACCTCACCACCCATGTGATGCACCTGCAGGAACCCCGCGTCGTCTAGGCCCACGATAGACACCTGCGGCCCCTCAGGGCTGCCCAGGCGGACTTGCTGACCGCTGAAAATGGAGCACACCAACACTGGAGTCACAGGAGGCCAGGGAAGGCGGGACACAGAACTCAGAGACTATTCATTACAAGGGACTAGGGTCCTGGGGACAGGCTGTGGCTTATTATAGTGACCTCTGACCTTCTCTGTCCCTGTGAAATGTCTTAATACCTACTCAAGAAGCCTCAGTGGTGGGCTGGGCCTTCTGTGAACCACATCACACTAATTCTGATCCTATTGCTGGTGATTTGTGCCCCTTCTCACCTCAGGCACTCTTAATACACTGTGGAAAAAAATAAAGGAAGAGGAGGGGACTATTTGGGAAAACCAGGGGGCAGGAGAAGACCAGATTTATACTGTAAACATGTCTGAAATGACATAACAAAAATCCACGTTTTTTTCAAATCAACACGTGCTAATTAAAATAAAGAAAGGAAAAGAAAAGAAAAAACACTTTATAGGGATGGCCAAGGTGAGGCACTTGCCCCAGGAGCCTGGTGACGTGGTTTCAATCCTTGGAACCCGTAACTCCACGAAGCTGTCCCACCCTCTCTTAAGTTTGAGGACACTGACGTTTAGGAAGGGTAGAGGCTTGTCTTACACACTCGTGGTTCCCACACCTGAGCTGAGGGGGGATGCCAGGAGCATCTGTTACCATGTGGGGCTGGCCTCAAACCCAGAGCACAGATTTAGGAGATCCTAAGTGCAGGCGAGGCTGCCATGGTTGAATGGGATCTCATTTTGGGATCTAGCAGGTTCTACCACTTAGATGTGTCTGAATAGCTGCTCGTAGTTCACACTAAACTAGATGTCCTCAGGGTCATGTCCTCCCCAGAGCGTCCTCCGGGGTGCTGGTCCCTCATCTCTGGTTAGGCTGAACCAGGGACTTTTCCATCGGAGTTAAGAAACAACAGCCTAGACCTATGCTTGGCCCTTCACGCTAAGACAGTGAAGTACTAACTTCAAGGAATTTTAAAAGAAAGAAGACGACGAGTACTGACCTGTGCACCCAGTATTTGTAGTAGAGAGGAAGGACACCATTGGGCCCTCGGTCCTGAAACGTGCCGATGAGTTTCTCCAGCACAGTTACTGCCCTGGCTATGAGGTAATCGGCTCGTAAGGGCTTCAGGCCTGCCTTGTGTTGCTTATTGTGTTCTGCGATGAGGTCATTGATGCATATGGTAGGGTTACTGTTAGTCACATTAAATCCACAGCCTGGACAAAAACAGACAAGCAACAAAAAAGCAGCTTGACACAAGCAGTGGATCTCAGCCTCCCTACGGTTGCAGCCCTTTAACGCAGTTCGTCATGCTGTGGTGACCCCCAACCATAACATTATTTTTCTTGCTACTTCATAACTGTAATTTTGCTACTGTTATAAATGGTAACATAAATATCTGATATGCAGGATATCCGACGTGCAGCCCTCAAAAGGGTCTCGATCCACAGGGTGAGAACCACTGTTCTAGACAATGGTGTAAATTCTCCCAGCACTCACAATTTAAAAGTCTGAGGGAGAATAGTGATATCCATTACCCTCAACTTAGACTACGTCTTTCTAGAAGCTAGGGTATTCTGCTGCACATTCTGAAACATGTCCCTCTTGACTCTCCAGCCTCCAAAAGCTCTAAGAACTTAACCGAGTCACACGTTTTGCCTCTCTTCCCTTCGGGTACCATCTGACAGCGCTGGCCTCAGTACCAGTGGTGCCACTTGGCATCTGCATATGGTACAATTACTCATTTCAGTGTGGGGTGTGGAGCTTTAGAAGTATGAACTAGCTTGCCTACAAAAACGCTGCCGGTTGGTAGCAGAATTGGAAACTCGAGCCTTGTGTTCTTTGACACCCTAGGCAGGATCACATGTTTCTGTCTGTTGCTGATTTGTGAGTGACAAGTGAGCTCTACTGGGAATTAGGGGGGATTGGTGGTTGGATGGTCGGGGTTCCAAGAACTTCTGAAAGTGCCATGAAGCCACCTCCTCCTGGATGTGCTGAGGTGAGCGGGCAGGGACTCTGCCATACTTTTACTAGCTTGAGGTTTTGTGTTTTTGTTGTGGTTAAAAAGGCAATTTTTTTTTTCATGGCTAAGAATGCAAGGCCGGCCGCAAAAGTTGTCTTAGCTATTGTCCCAGCTTCATTTCTGCTACCGTAATAAATACCCCATGAAAAAAAAAAAAAAAAAAAAAAAAAAAAAAAAAAAAAAAGCTGAGAACAGTGCTGCCCATCCTGGGCTGGGCATTCCTGCATCAATTAACATAATCAAGACAATTCCCCATGAAGATGCCCACCAGCCAGACCCGGACGGCCCCTTACCCAGACCCTCTCCAGCTGACTCCACCTGTGTCAAGTTGATAATTAAGCTAACAACCACAGGCATTAACTTACTGCTTAGTATAAAACATAATCATTGTAAAATACGCTTCCAGCATTCTCATTCCATGAGACGCAGACCCACAGAAAGACATCTGTGAGGTGTGATACCAATTTGGCATTTCCACCGCCCCAGACAGGAACTGCTAAGCCCTTGAAGCGGTCTCAACTCATCTGGTCCTCTCTGAATCCACGTCATACTCTATAACTTAAGACTAAAGGCATCATCTCATAATCCCATCCACTCTTTCAGGTAGAGGCATGCACAAGACATTTAAATTCTGCTGTTTTGTTAATATAAAAAGTGCTGGAGGAAGGGCTTTAAGAACTCACCAATAAGGATGTAGAACGTCTCTCCCATGAGGGTGGAATTAACCAGAACGCCACCAATCTTCATTAGGTCACCGTAATAAATATCGTTGGGCCATTTCACTCGCAAGTTGATCTCCTAAAAGAAAACCTGCATGTTCACTAAGCCATAAACCACAGGGCAATGGCATGAGAGAAGAACAGAATCTTCAGGAAACTAAAGAAACAGGGACCTGGTCCTCTCTCCTGCTCCAAGTTGATCACTTTGTGGGGGTGTGATACGGTATTTTTAAAAATATGTTATGTGCATGGGTCTTTTGCCTGCATGTGTGTCTGTGCAGCGTGTGCAGGCCTGTGCCATGAAGGCCAGAAGAAGGTGTTACATCTCCCCAAGACCAGGGTTACACACAGTTGTGAGCTGCCATGTGGTTTCTGGGAATCAAGCCCAGGTCCCCTGGAAGAGCTGCCATTGCTCTCAATCACTGCGCCATCTCTCTGGCCTCAGGTAACACAGAATTCAAACTCCTGCTGGAGCTTGAAGGTAAAATACTGACAGATCACAGTCCGCCAAGTCAGCACCCTCAGATATTCCCATCACGGTCTCTCACTGTTAAAACCTCCTTTGCACAGCTGTCCCCGAGGCTCAGGCAGGAGGACTGCAAATTCGAGGGCTGCCTAGAAAACTCAACGAGTTCAAGGCTGGCCTGGGCAACTTAGTGAGACTCGGTCAAAATAAAACTTGAGAACGTGTAGAGCTCAGTGTAGGGCAGTGGCCCAGTAAGGATGCCCTGGGCTCAATCTCTAGTATATAAACAAACAAACCCCCAAACAAAACAACAGTGAGAACAAAGCACCCAATGTTTGCAGATGTCTTATAAATCTAGTTCATTAATATCTGGGTATCAAAACTGTCATCAGGAGGTAGGCATTGGGGGAGGGAGAGAATATTATCCCCAGGATTCTTTGCCCCTTAGAAGCCACGGCATGACAGACCAAGGTGGCTTTGACCCGACCAGAGTCCCAGAGGCAGGTGTGGGGTGTGGAGTGGGGCGCCATGAGGCAGCAGAGAGCCCCAGCTTAGCAGTGGTTCTCAATCTGTGGGTCATGACCCTTTCGTGGTCGACTGACCCTTTCAAAGGGGTCACCTGAGACCATTTCGCACGTCAGATTTCACGTTAGGATTTATAACAGCAGCAAAACTACAGTTATGAGGTAGCAATAAAAACCGTTTTTACAGTTGGGGGTCACCACAATATGAGGACCTGTAATATAGGGTCACAGCCTGAGGAAGATTGAGAACCACTGCCTAGAAAGTGCCTTGTCAAGAGTGGACGTGGTTACAGCAATGGACTTGTCCTGTGGCCACGGCCTCTCCATTGCGAAGGGTATGGCCTGCTGGGATCTGCCTGTGCCCTGGCCATAGTAGGATGGACAAGGGTGGGCACTTCCTTGATTGAGGCCACCCCAGACCTCTACGTAACCCCTGGAAACACAGACTGGACTAGATTAAGAGGCCCAGATTGGGACTCCTAGACTTTGGCCGTCATGGGTGGGCGAAGGAAATCATCATGGAAGAAGACACGGCAAAATAAAGCCGGCGACAGTGGCGGTGGTGGGCTCTCCAAGTCTGTGGGACTCGTCTTCCCACGGTCAGCAGCTCTGAGTCCCCCCAGCACCATCTGTACACCTGTGCTGGTCTGCATCTCTCCGCTTCAGTGCACAGGGCTTTCCCACCCCAGCCCAGGTGCTGAGTGCTTAGTGCGATGCTACGGCTCCTGCCCTTGCCACCAAATGCCCTCCTCTCCCAGTAGATCTCATGGCCACTGCGATTAGAAGCCCTGACACACCCATCCAGGAAGCGACTACAGAGCAGCAACAGAAAGGGCCACAGTGCTGCCCAACCTCCTCCCTCCTGTGCTCCTGTGCCCACCCTCCTTCCACCCATGCTCCTGTGCCCACCCTCCTCCCACCCGTGCTCACCTGTGCTCTCATGCCCACCCTCCTCCCACCCGTACTCCCCTATGGTGATGGCAATGAGATCAAGTTCCCATCTCAAGCGTTCAGGGCTGGGGCCAGGAGTCTCTCCCTGCATGTGGCAGTGGCTTCTTTCTGAGCTGGCCCTGTGCTCCAGCCTGGCCTGACTTTGGGTTTTTTGTCCTTGGTCAAGAATGAAACAACATATACAATTCCTGGCTTCTCCTTCAGGCAAACAAGAACATCTACCCCAAGGTGAAAAGCGAGGCTATGAACTGTTTTTCTCTTTTCTCCATAACCTGCTGAGTGAATGACTTTGAAACGAGGCTCATGTAGCCCAGGCTGTTCTCAAATTCTTTGTGTAGCCAAGGATGAGTTTGGAGCTCTGATTCTCCCTCCTCTGGCTCCCAGGGCTGGGGTTATAGGACTGAGCACCACACTGTTTATATGCCAGTGCTGGGGACAGAACCCAGGGCAAGCACTGTACCAACTGAGTGCCACTCCAACCTTGATCACGCATTACAACAACTCCTGGGACTCCCTTATATGTAAAGTCCTATGGCCCACACAGACCTAAGTAAAACAAAGCCTGCCTTCAAATTTCTGGGAACTCAAGGGTGAGGGAACAGGGTACACAAGACTCTCTTAAGGAAACAAGAACTCTGTGCTTTTGCCTACAGGAAGGAATGTTGGGAAAGGAACTTTAGCTCCCAGGAAAGCAGGAAGGACCTTACTACAACACTGAGAGAAGACGTGGGGGTGGGGGAGGGCAGGGACAGAAGCCACAGTGAGCAGAAGCAGGCAGCCTGGCACTGGGAAGGAGGCCACATTCCAGTGACACTGAGTTAGTATTTGGAAATCGACAAGCTGTCACCTCACTGAAGGGAACCAAACACATGGAGGCTGTTTCAACCATCCAGTGGCTGTTCTGTGTAGGTCAAACCGGCTACATCAAAACTAACTCCGGACATGGCGGACCTACAGGCCCAGAAAAATAATGTCCTTTCTCGTGTGTGGACCCTAGCTGTGGATCTTGAGTTTTGCGTGTTTAATCTGAAGCACCTGTGGAAGTCAGGAACTTAGAAAGTGGCTGGGAGGTGCGGGTACATTACATGTTAGCTGTGGGACAGTAGAACTAGGTGAAAGGGAAATTAAGAGCCATACTATGGGGGA